AGTAGCAGCCCAGAGCAAAGGTTTAAGGTCAAAGGTCATCGGTACAGAAAAAGAAAATTATTGGCAGCAACCCTGACATCCCAGGAAGAGAAATCATAAATCCAACAGTCACACGCGTTCGGGTATTGCAAAGGTTGAACACTTTAGAAACACAGGTGTTTTATAGGCTATTGTTCTTTTTTAAACTAAAAAACAGAAAGAAAAATATAAAATAAAAATAAAAATTAAAGAAAAAACAAAAAAACCAAAACGAAACGTAGATGCTGTTACAATGGTTTGTTAGGTTGCAACATAGCCTGACAGGCTGAGCATGGTGGCTCACGCTTGTAAGCCCAGAGACTGGGGAAGCTGGGGCAGGAAGATCACTTGCGGCCAGGAGTTTGAGACCAGCCTGGGCAGCAGAGCAAGACCCCATCAAAAAAAAAAATTTAATACGGCCTGATCCAAGTCCTTCGCTTTGAATCTTTATCTTTCATGTGACCACCACTAATTTTGTGCTTGCTAGTCCTCCGTTAAGTTTCGATACTCAGAGCATCCAAAAGGGGCAACTGTAATGCTTCACTGGAGAAAGGCCCAGTCCGTACAGTAAATTCACGAGTTGGTTTCTGCCACAAGTTGGTTTCTCGTGTGTCCGACAGTGTGGGGCATCCAGCAATTCATTCCAGAACTGCTCAGCAGTGAGATTTCAGAGCTGCAGGGCAGACGGACGGGACCTTGGACTTGTGCAACGTACAATAAGCAAGGCTCCCTGATGGCCCTGGCTGAAGTAGCCAAGTGACTTCATCTATCACTCTGGTCAAAGCTGATCACGAATGAGGCATGGCCAGGTTTGACTGCAGAAGTCCCCAAAGAGGACCAGGTTTGGGGACAAGGAAGACACAGAAGTAGGAAGGCCTGGGGAGGTTCTCTCTTCATCCCAGCCCTTGCCCACGCTCTACCGCAGCAAAGATGGACACTGATCTGCCTGTCACCTTCCTTCACAGCTCGGTCATGGGATCATAGGAAAGTCGGGGCATGGAAGGGGGGCGGGGACAACCCATGCTCTTCTCTACTGGCCCAGGCAGTGGGAGTGGAGATATTTGTCTCCTGCCTGCTACTGTCCGAACACCTGTGTTCTAAAATTCACATGTTGAGGCCGGGTGCGGTGGCTCACGCCTGTAATGCTAGCACTCTGGGAGGCCGAGGCGGGAGGATCGCCCAAGGTCAGGAGTTCGAAACCAGCCTGAGCAAGAGCGAGACCCCGTCTCTACTATAAATAGAAATCAATTGGCCAACTAATATATATAGAAAAAACAAGCTGGGCATGGTGGCGCATGCCTGTAGTCCCAGCTACTCGGGAGGCTGAGGCAGGAGGATCGCTTGAGCCCAGGAGTCGGAGGTTGCTGTGAGCTAGGCTGACGCCACGGCACTCACTCTAGCCTGGGCGACAAAGCGAGACTCTGTCTCTAAAAAATAAAATAAAATTCACATGTCGAGAGCCTAACCTCAACACGTGGTTGGAGGTGGGGTGTTTGGGAGCTGATCAGACCATAATGGGATCAGGGCCTTTATAAAAGAGGCCCTAGGGGACTCGTTTGCCCCTCCCCCGTGTGAGGTGCAAGCTGGCTCTTTGAGAAAGCCCCTCCACAACCAGAGGCCCAATCTGCCAGCATCCTGATTTTAGACTTCCCAGCCCCAGAACTGTGGCAAATGCATTTCTGCTGTTTATCAGCCACCCAAGCACAGTGCGTTTGTTATGGCAGCCTGAACGGACTGAGCCCCCACCTCTCTGCCTCTTCCTTCCACAAGAACATGAGTCACTTCCAACTCTCAGGAATGAGGACCTTGTTTTTCAAACCTTAAGCAAAAAGATCCCACCGATGAAATGACATCCTTACAATTGTATAACACTAACCAGCCCCAATCTGCATGACTTTGCACTCTTATATTAACAAATACAGCTCTTCTCTGCACTCTTGAAACTTAGAAGTCACCAACTGAGTGGCTGTAAATTAGATGAATTTTTTTTGAGACAGATCTCACTCTGTTGCCCAGGCTAGAGTGCCTAGACAGTGAGTGGCCGGGTCGGTGTCAGCCTGCTCACAGCGAACCTCAGACTCCTGGCCCTCAAGTGATCCTCCTGCCTCAGCCTCCCGAGTAGCTGGGACTACAGGCATGCACCACCATGCCTGGCTGATTTTCTCTCTCTATATATATTTTTTTCTTTTCTCACATTTCTCACTTTATTTATTTGTTTATTTTTGAGACAGTCTCACTCTGCCCAGGCTAGAGTGAGTGCCGTGCTGCCAGCCTAGCTCACAGCAACCTCAGACTCCTGGCCTCAAGCGATCCTCCTGCCTCAGCCTCCCGAGTACTGGGACTACAGGCATCGCCCACCATGCCCGGCTCATTTTTTCTCTATATATTTTCAATTGGCCAATTAATTTCTATTTATAGTAGAGATGGGTCTCACTCTTGCTCAGGCTGGTTTTGAACTCCCAACCTTGAGCGATCCTCCGCCTCGCCTCACGTGCTAGGATGATGGGCGTGAGCCACTGCACCTGCCTAGATGAATTTTTAAAGACAACTGTTGAAGGGCAGGTTGCGAACATCAGATGGACGGTCACAGGTGAGTGGATTCATTTCCACACAAATTGGAAAAGCCTTCCAAACAGAGCCCAGCAAGGCGGCTGGAGTCTGCGGTCATTGTTTGCACTGGCCTGCATGTGCCATCTACCCAGCCACGGCTAACATGCCGTGCACCTTTGTTCCATGTCCTGTCTTCAAGTCCCTGGTGTTTCCCATCGCAATATAAAGCCTGTGTCAGGACAGCAGCAAGAATAACGAGCCCAGGAAGCAATCCGTGCAAAAAGCTGACCTTGAAGAACAAGGATATTAGCCAACCTAAATGCCAATTCCTGGAAGAGTGTTTTGTAATAACTACTGTCTCTTTCTTTTTTCTTTAAAAC